GACTCATTTATGAAGCAAGAAACCCCGTAATTAATGAACAGACATTTATAACACAACAGAACTAGAAACAACTGGTCACTGGCTGCTATCAGCAGGAAGCACTTCTGACCAACTGTGCAGGATGTTTTCCCTCTCCGTAGGCTATACTCACTGCGCTCTGCAGGTAAGGCTTTTACTGAGAGATGTAATGGGTTATTGACATTGTGGCTTGCAAGGATTTCGCAGTGGGACTTTCAACCCAGCTTGTTAGATGCAGTACAAATGGACTAGTCTGGCATGCAGGAGCTGGAGAGAAAAGGGTCACAAGTACCTACTGAGGCCAAATCGGCTGCTGGGAAGGATACGATCAGTGCCAGGAAACAACACAGCACCTTTAATCATTTCTCCCATGATGCACCCTACTGACCACATGTCAACTGAAAACAAAAATGAAATGAAGGTAAACAAGAAAACAGAAACAGAACAACAAATAAATGAGAAGACTTCTCCAATCCTGCCACCGCAGCGCAGGGCCTGCAGCCCGCCTGCCTCGTGCCCTCCGCGACGCGTTCCTGCTCCTGCTCGCGCCTTGCGTGGCAGCGCAGCAGGTCTGAGAAAAATCGACTCCACCAGCTTTCGTTACCCCAGCGTGGATGCAAGACAATGAGAATTAAATGCAGAAAACCAAATGAGACCCGCAGCTGGCTACTGTGTCAAAAGAACAGTCATAATTAAAATTCACCAATTAATTGTCTTCTTTAAGTTTTCATTTGCATTCATTACCTAGGTTTCTACTGCTTTGTACTGTAAATGAATGCTGGTCTTTGCGTTTAGTGAGGATATGCAAATTGCTTTTCCTTTGTCCCTTCAGCTACTGAGATCCGTGCGTATTTTCAGAAGCTGAGCTGGCAACAGCCACAAAGGAACCCTGGGTCCCCAGGAAGACACATCCACCAATTATTCAGGGGTGGGAACAGAATGTGTTGAGGTTACTCAACTACCATTATGCTCGCTTTAGAGCCTGCTGGCTCACTTCCACGGGATCTCAGTGCAGCCATCAGTCCATCAGAGACAAGGGTCTTGAGAATCTCCTAAGATTTCTATTCGACGTGGTAGGAAATGCCAATTTCTAAACAGGACAGTTGAGACAGAAAAGCACTGAGCCATACCTTCTGCACTGAAATTCAGAGCAAATCGGGGGACTGTTTACCTGGTACAGAGAAGAGCAGTTCAGCTGGATTAAAACAAAGCTAACCACAATTTGCACCAGAACATGAGATGAAAATCAAACTCCTTCCGTCCGGTGTCACATTGAACTGGTGTTTTCCCCAGCACCAATACCATGAAACCACATTACCTCTGCTGTCCTTGCTCTATGATTAAGCCATAGGGCATGGAAGCATAAAAAGGGACAGCCTGGTCTCTCAGGGCCAGAAGCTGCGGGGAAAAATGAAAGCGTCATGCTGCTTGGTTAAATTTACTCCTGCAATTTTACATTGAGCAACAGTTGAAAGGTGATTTGATTTTGAATGCAAATGTCCTATCTGTGGCAATCTACATGCCTGGTTTAAGGCTCCCTGTTGCTTTACTTAGCATATGAAAAGCTTAATCACTACAAAATAAATCAATAAATAAGTAGATAAATAAATAAAAGGCTACTTGTTAGGAAGCAATAAGCAAACCTAGAGATGCAAATTATTGCTGCTTTCATCACAAGCTAAATGGCATGCAAAATATCAGGAGAAGATAGAGCAAGCAGTTGTTTGTTCATCTGTTATTAACCCCTTTTCAATGTCAGAGGCTGCCTTCGGACGTTACTGCTCTGTGCTGTGGTCAACAACGCACAACTGGAAGTTCACTCAGTGACTCGCTGAACAGAAACCTCTGCAGAGTGGATAGTATTCCTCTACTTGATTCCTCAGGCTTTGGGAAGGGACTTTGAAAACACCCAACTTGGAAGCAGTAAAGATGAACATCTGAATATATCCAATATCTGAAGAGAAAAAAAAAAACTCTGCCTTCTTGCTCGTCCCCCTGAGCCACTTAGAAATAAGTCAAATTAGAGCCCTTATCTTGAACCGCAGTTAGCTGGAGGCCAGGGGGTTTGTTACAAGGCATACACAGCAGTGATCATCAGCAGCCCCAGTGAAGGCTTTGAGACTGCTGTGCAATGCTCTGCGAGCCTCAGCCCGGTGTTTCATGAAATCCAGCATAAAGCCAGACGGACTCTGAGTCATTTCAGTATTGCATGCATCAGAAAAACAACCCACCCAAAATCTCAGAATATTTGCACTCAATTCCAAACCGCTGAAAATTTCCATTAGTTCAGGATTTTTCCCAAAAGCAAGATATTCAAAAAGGCTGGTGATGTTCCACCACCACAAGGAATATCTCCAAACTTCAAACAAATGCACACTGATTCATTGCCATGTAGAGATCTGCACAGCTCCAGGTACAACTCCACTTTTAGCAACTATTTGCCTTGAGGTTTTAAGATCACTTGAAAATGACCATTAATGAATTAAATTCACAACTTTTCACCTGAGTCTTTGAAGTGAAATTGTTGAATTTGGGCAGCCCATGACGGGAAGCCATCTCTCCAAGAACTTGTGACATGGATTACCAGGAGTGGTGAATTTTTATCCCTGCCCCAATCTCTACAAACTAGGCTGCTGCCCAAAGCTGTTCTGAAGTTAATGGCAAAACACATTTTTTTTTTTTAATCAGCCTGCCTGAGTGCTTACACATACTTCAAAATACAAGCACATTTTCCAAGGACACCAAACACCCCCTGCTTTTGCCATCTTGAATAAATGGCCCTGTAACCTCCTTCTGCACCACCTCTGGGACTTCACAAAAGACTATGAAGGGAAGCCCAGATGGAATAACCACAGCTGCTCTCACTAAGGCTCCTGTTGAAGATGGCTCTTCAGAGCTGTACAGGCAGTTCCAGCTTGCATTCAGTGAAATCATGGCATTCTGAGTAAAACTCAAGAAATGTGCTGCAGGAAACTCTGGAGGCCAGAGACACAGGCACAGCTGAATGAGCTTTGCAGTCCTCCCCATCCTCATGGGCTAGCTCTCAGGTCCTTCACCTGCTCTCTCTCCAGGCTGTTTGCCCAGGGAAAGGAGCAATAGATCATCTCCACTGTAGCTGCTGGGACCCACTCCAAATGCCACACACATTACAGACAGCACGGGGGTCTTATACTAAATGTAATCTGCTCTATAGACCATTAGAACATGCATACTGGAATTTAAAAGAGAGCTCGGCAGAGGACTACAAAGGTATACTAGGATTTGTAGGAACACTGGTCTGTAAACAGTGTCAGACTAAGAAGCCTCCCTGGCAGTATTTTGCAATGTCTGTTTTGGGCAATTAAAAAGAGACAAAAGGCATTTGCTAGGCAATTGCTAGCCGGTACACTGCAGGAGGGTGGAAGGTGTGCTTATTTTTTGGACACCAGCTAGCTCCTTGCAAGCTGACAGCGCCTGAATGGCCCCATCCTCCAGCCTTGCCCCATCTCAAGCGTCCTACTGGGTCAATTATATGAATGACTTCAGCGATGTTGGGCTTCTTGATACCAAAAAACATGTGTCCAGAGACTATTTTAATAAAGTTTTTTTGTTTTTTTTTTTGAAAAAACTTTGTTTATATTAACCGGGACAACGGTTGCATACAGGTACCATTGCCTATATGGATTTATATCTTTCTAAGTTACTGTAAGAAAGTCATGCATCCAGTGTATTTCCAGTCTATGCTCCCATAGGATGAGGAGCCAGTACAACGAGGCTGATTCCTCCTCAGCAGACCTCCAGTTCTGCATCTATCCTTTGGTAAAACCTAACTGCAGCTTCACCTGGCCACTGGGCCAAACTCCATTTTCAGGGAAAGTCGGCAGAGCTGAAAATAGGACAGGCGGGACCTAACTCTGTCAAACACTACAGAGTTCACTCGAGAGCCAGAAAAAAAATATTAATTAGTTCCATGACTCTATGTCTATAGAAACTGGATTTTCTCCACACCAACTGCCAGTGTCTGCTGATGCCAGATTTTCACGGTGTCTTTCTGCCAGCCTGCTGCAAATAATCTTTTTGTTTCTGAACATGGAAAAACCATGTCACGTTGCTACATTTTATTCTGATGGGCAAAATACACGCTCCCTATACTCCCCAGCCATCACCAGCAGATTGTCTGGCTTAGCCTGTGATAAAGTGATGGCTAAGTACACACCTCCTCTTTGTTTTCATTTTCTAATATTGCTTTCACCACCTTAAAAGTGGTAAAAATAATATCACCTAAGATGAAAAGAACAAGATGGAAGGGAAACAGAGTTAAACTTATGACACAGAGCTCATGCAAGTAAAGGAAAGTCCATTTTTACATTAAGAATGTCTTATTTCCATTCAACCTGGAAACCACACCAGATATACGGTTGCTTTATACTGTGAGTCAAATTCTTTGTTTTAAAGAAAAAGGTTGTATTGACTCAGTTCTGAGCCCATACAGCACTGAGATGAATCCAAATCCATGATGCATTAGCAAGCAAAAGACTATGATGTCACCACAAATGTTATGAAGTCGCTACTTCCAAAACATTAATGCAGAAAAACAGATTTACAGGAACCAGATGGGCCAAATTAGGATTTTTTTAATTTTTATTTTTTTGTTTGGTATCGTATTTTTCCTTTGAAGAGTAGTAAGTAAAATTGTTAGTGTGCTATCATAATGCTTGTATTCTATACTGTATATTAGTATCACATCAGAACTACGTGAAGTGGAATGACTGTGGGTTTTAAAACAAGGTAACTGATTTGTGTGAAATAATTCTGTGCATCTGTTTTTCATTTTCAATTTTGTCCGTATCAGTAGTGCGCTGTTTCCGTTTACTCGTACCTCTGGGACTCAATTTCTTGCTTCTATCTTTACAGTCCTGGTATATTCATTACAAGGAAAAGGGGAAGGGGTGGAAGAGAGGAACAAATAATAGGTGGAGCTGCAGCAAATGGCACAAGGATACAGTCCCTTCCTGGAAAGAGGATTTTGTGGCGAACCATTTCTCCCATAATGCATCCCACAGACCATATATCCACTAGAACAGCAGAGATAGGGAAGTGAAGAAGAAGGAAAAAAAGCAAAGTTAACTATGACATTTTATTCCTAAAGAAGGGGAAAAAGAACAGGGTGATCAGAACAGTTCAGTTTGTTTTGTTGCTATTTTTTTTTGTTTGTTTTTCTTTCCCCACATCTCACCTGAAGCCAAAATGATTAAGTAAAAGCTGTGTCAGTCAGCCTGATGGCAGTGAGCAACAACGGTGCAAAATGTTTAAAATTAACATTGCTGGAAAAAGCTAGCAAGTAAAGCAAAAACTTCACAGACCCATGGTTTACACTGAGTTTACAGTGGGAAAAAAATATTATTATTATTATTATTATTTTTTAACTTAAAAAGCACAAAACACCCCAGACAATGATCGTCTGGAAGAAACCCCCCCTGTAGCAAGGCAGTTTATAGGCTGTGTCCTGCAGGAATGAGTCTCCCTGCAGCACTACACAAGAGGTCCCAAAGAGAAGCACTCACTCAGGTAAAGGCCGCATGGATAAATACCATCCTTGAGGGTTAGCTACAAGTCCTGCTTTGGGGTCAGAAGCCATGACGTCCTGTCTCTATGTGCCTATCTGTGTGTGTGTCTGGCTGTACCTACATACCAACAAAGAACCACAGAGTGACACTTCCTGATCCTCCCTGCAGCTTTTAGATGCAGTAAGTGTGGTTACCTGTTTGACTTGGGTGGGGTTGGATTTTTTTGCCTCTCAAGCCTTACAAGAAAAAAGTCTAGATAGATGACACTATGCACAGAAGAGACCTTGAGCCAATGTGAAGGGGAAAACCTGCTTTAAAATGCTTTAAAAAACCATGTCTCTCTGCTTCGAATCCTCACTTTGTAGTCATGTTCAAACTACATAGCCAGTTTCTTCTCTTTTTCTTCCCCCTTTTTAACCTTCAAAAGCTATCCAAAACAAACCAAAGAAACAAACAAACAACTCATTGTTTTGGTACAACAAAATAAAGGTGAAATGCTCCATTTGGGAAAAGGAGGGTAGAGGTATCAGGGGCACAGGACAGCAGGAGCATGCCTGAGGCGGTGGCAGTTTTCTTCTGAGTGATGGTTTTGGGACCTTCCACAGGAAGCGCAGCAAACTGGTGATAATTATGCATCTTTAGCCAACCAAGTGCAGAAAGAAAATGAAAGCAGTGAACGGTCCTTACACAGGCAATGTACGTAGGAAGGAGAAAAAATAAGGGAGCTTCAGTAATGTGGCAGCACAGGCCAGGGCAGGGAAACACAGACCAAGCCTTTCTGTTGCCTTCCCTGGGAGCTGGATGAGAGCCTCCAAGCAGACCAGCTCCTCAGACAGCTGACCTTCGTTTTCAAATGTTTTGCTTTCTTTCTCTGTTGACTTCATTTTCACTTAGCACAATTAAGACAAGACCATTCATCCTGAGCCAGATTCACTGACCAGGAGAGTCAAAGGAGGCCTCTCTGTTAACTTCCAGGGACATTTGAGCAGGACCTTTACATGTGGCAAACATTCTTAGTATCTTCCCAGCTGTGCACTTCATCACAGAACTGTCTCTACCTTTTTCTTAGTGTCATTTTAATCATGTGAAAACTGAGTGCCTTCTCTGTCGTTTTAGGGACAATTATAACAAGAAAGATAATCATATGTTTGGAAAGAAAGAGAAAGCAAAATAATTCATTTCACAACAGAAGAAACTAGATATTTGAAGTAAAGAGCAATGTAAAGCATGCTGAGCCTAGATCAAATTTATAATGACACACATCAAAATACTTCAAGAAACTTTACTCCTCTTTAATATATTATTCTGTATGGTTAGTATCCACCCAGTAACTGTCACCTTTGTAGATTTTCGTGTGAGAATCTGTACTGTAAATTCACAAACATTACTATTAATACAAAGGCTACCCAATTTTGGCAGAAGTTTTGTGAGTATGCCTGTGTTCTTGTTCAAGTCACAGAATCAGCTCCGAAGATCAGTTTCACTGCTCTTCACAAAATGCTGTTGGCTGTTAGTCAAAGTTTTCCTGTGGGTTAGCCTCTTAAAATGAATTAAATAGGAGTCTTTTAAATAAATTCCTGGTCTTGACATTTGCTGTTTTACCCAAGCATTTGTCATTGAAAAGTCTATCATACAGCAAAGTGGTAGCTTTTGACAGCAGAATCTGTATCACAGCAGATTTTTCTCCACTCCATGCATTATCCCTTCCTTTCCTGCCTTGTTTACCTGATACTCGGATTAGGTACAAATGAGAATCGTTTTTAAAGTTTTTCCTCCATCCTTTGTGAAAGTGGACTTGACACTACTTGCTTCTTTATAGTGTGTACTGCCTACCTGCTTTTCACTAAGTTTCCAGGGACTGAGAGGTATCCAGATCCCACACAGACTATTCAGAGCAAAACCCTATTTACATCTAGAGAGATTACATACCAATGCATTTTTTTGTTTTGTTTTGGTTTGGTTTTAGCTTCATCTTTTTTCTCTCCTTTCCAACTCTACTTTTCATTAAAAAGAGACACAAAACGCAGAATTTATATCTAGGTTTTCTCCAGATGAAACCTGTTAGCAGAAACTGGGACTTTAGTTAAACCTATCATACAGGCAGAAATGGCTCTTGAAATTCATATCTGATTAGTTTTGTAGAAACTGTGGAATGCCTAGGATTCCCTATTTTAGCTTTTACCTCTCTTCTTCCTGCCTTGAACAATTCAAAGACCCAGATCCAATTACTTCGTTCAGCAATCCCCCTTGTTCACACCCTGTTTCATAGCCACAGAAACCAAATGCATTTTGCTCAGAAAGGGCTGATTGTCTTTGACAAATTCAATGATAACTATGACCAGGTTTCCCACTATTCTTCTGTCCCACGCCAATATCTCCACCAATATTACTCTGCAAATACAGTCAGTAGCTGCAGTACCCAACACTAAGAAACTGCTCCAAATCACCTGCCTTTTAAATTCAAGATGTTATTTATTGTTACATTTTCTTTTTCTCCTTCTGGTGCCCCTTACAGTTGTGAAGGCAGACCTTACACTTCAGGTCCCACTGCACTTGCTATGAAATTGCAGCCCTACCGTTCTCCTTGTAGCCCATTCCCAAGATGACCTCTGGTGCTCTGTAGTAACGTGTCACCACATACGGAGTCATCATGAAGCTCGTGCCTGCAGTCCGGGCCAGTCCAAAATCCAAAATCTTCAACGTGCAGTCAGATTTTACCACGATATTACTTGGTTTTAAATCCTGAAAAAATAGTGAGAAGAGGTATGACTGCACTTCATAAAGCTAGCCACAGCAGTGATCTGGACTGATATTTTAGGTCATCCTTAAAATATTAATTTACTCTCTGACACCAATAGTTATAATCACAAATCACTTGCAGGTACATGGTAAAATCTTGTTACTGTTTCTCTCAACATCCTTCACAAGGGTTGCTAGTGTGGCATATTCAGAGGCTTTAGTTGGATGGTGGGAGCTTACTAGTGTTAAATTAACTGCATTCAGCAGTTTAATAAACTTGGATAGCTATTTGATTATTATTATGATTATTTTTTTAAGTGCTGTCCGCCTAGTAGATACATTCCAACTGTATGTGTGGAGTTACCTTACCATTTGATTTATATTAATTTTTCAATTCATCCTTTCCCAGAAGACTATCCTGAAGCTAGGTCTATCACCCTTCTGCATCTTTTATGCCAAGAAAGGAGACCTTGGTTTACAGTTAAACAATGTTCATCTTGGAACACATTTTATTAGCCTTTCTTCTCTTCCTTTCATAAGTGAAGAGAAATATTTTCTCATCTGTTTTTTAAACTGGGAAACAAAAATTAGTAAAAGCACATTTTAATAAAGAATGAGGATATTTTTAATCCACTGAGTATTGCCTCCTGCTCACAGTCACATGAACTGTTCCCTCTGTTGTCAACAGGCACAGGTAGAGAACTCTGGCATTCACAGCCGGGTGCTCTGCCCTTAGCAGACACCGTGCTCTGAGGTAGAGAAGTAAAATGAGAGGATGCATTTAATACACACTTCACAGCCTTTTCATTCATTTTAGTGAATGTAAATCATGTTTAATATTAATTCCATATGTTCTGCCTGCTCTCTGTGGAGCTTGATCTGACTTGTATGACATTGAGCTGGATCTTGATCATACTTATGTGACGTGATGACACATACGACTTGTACAACATCAGTTCAGATAGTCTGAATGCCATGCGTGCACGTTAGGATGCAGACAGCTGCATTTTCAAGAGCAATACCCTTTCTCTATATGTTTCAGAGATCGTATGTACTTGGTGATTTCCAGTGTTTATTGTTTGGTTATTATTAATAAGGACGTGACCTTTTTGAAGTTCACAACTAACCTCACTTTTAAAACAGCCAAAAAGCTACTCTGACAAGGGCTATGATGGGCTATGACTTATGGCCATTTCTCTGGGGGATAGGGCTTAGATCCACAGTACACAAGATACTCTAACTGGTTTCTCAAGTCCTCGTGAGGATGCCATTTGCTGCCCTAAGTTTCAAACCCAAGTCTGCTTACCCTGTGAATGATTCCTGCGGAGTGAAGATGCTTGATACCACAGAGCATTTGGTAAAGTAGATAAGACATTCGCTCATGGTCGAGCTCCATCTGAATGACCTGGCACAGATTGGCATCCATTAACTCCATTACCAGGTAACTAAATGAAAAAGCAAAGTCATGAGCTTATCATCTGTGTTGAGGAAGAACTACAGCATCATTTCCAGTGAGTAACAAAGCCTTTCCTTGCTTCAAAATGTCACTGATTTCTGCTGACTGGATATAACATAGCTGGAGAGTGGCTAAGCACAGAAATTGCTCACAACCATATCGTCGTGGTGCTCGTCTCTCACTGCACCAACACTGTTCTTGGTGGGCCCTTCTTGATACATTCCCCAGAGCCTGTACCTTACATGCACATGCAAGCAGCACAGAATTGAACCATGCAGAACACAGAAGAGCCACAAGCATCAAAATGACACGACTACTTGGCCTTTGATCATTATGAGGAATGGATACCACAGCACACGTAGGAATCTGAGAGCAGTGGTGCTAAAACATTCATCCCCATGTGAAATGTCTCCAAAACCCTCCTAAGACTGCATGACTAAACTCAGTTCTCATTACAAACAATTGGTCTTGAGCTTCTGGTAAATAAGCTTCACTGACAACCTCAGCAGGACCTTATCCTGGTCCCCTTGAGAGAGAAGTTAATAAGTTGAACACACACAGCTCATTTCTTATGAGACTTCTCATAAGCACAGCTGAATCTTAATTATAACAGGGCATCAAAGCACTCTCAAACTTTGGGGAAAACACCAGCTTTCTATTTCTGTGTGACCTACATGCCTCATCTTCTCCCCAGCACTGCTTATCTCCTCTGCTCTGCACATGTCTGCAGTGACAATTTGATGCAGAAGACTCGTATACCAAAACCAGAACCACACTCGCCACTGCTATCTGTCTGTTGGCATCGCTGCTATCAGAGTACAGAAGGGAATACATTTCCATACCATGCATACAGAATATGGGAAAGACTGAAAGATAAAAGGCATGCAGCTATATAAAACGCTATTTAAAATTTCACTCAGGGCAGGTTCATGCTACGCACAGTAGTGCTTGTGCAATAGGCAATGCTCAGCAGAGATGCTAGTCATCCTTTACACCTAGCACTGGTTCCCCAGGCAAGTAATTGTAGGCAGTCAAAGGTTAGTACAAAGCCAACATGAAAGGAGGAAATATTTCACATCTGTCTCTCTTATGGGAAATTATTTCAGAGTGAATTGCTGCGTTTCAAAACCTCATGACTCAGGGAGCTGTGCAACAACCATCATTTCCCAAGCAAGCTAACACCACAAAAGCAGGCCCCTTTACCTACTGACACCTCTTCCCATGCGTTTGAAGGTAAGTGCAAGTAACTTAGAGGAGCTCACAGCCTTTGTGTTCTGCCAAGTTACTGAGTTCATGGTACACTATAATGCCCCACGTCTCTAAAGCTTTAGTTTAATTATTTTCTGTATTACTTACACATCCTGGAACTCCTCCAGAGATTTCTGTGGTGTGAAGACATTTAATAAACTGATAATCTGAAAAGCAGAGTAAGACAAAAGGAGGAAGACAAGTGATAAAGGTAAGCAGTTGAACCCATTTTGAAGTGAGTGTTAAAGGACAAACTGTTTTCCACTGCTCAGTTTATACCAGCCCTTCTCACTTCATGGCTCAGTAAGAAGCTGGCAACATTCAAAATAAAATACTTCGCATCTCTAAGATTTCTTCAAGGTGCACTTGAAATGGTTTCTGAGAAAAGGATTAGTAAGGAATGATAAACCAAAATGATAATGGTGAAAGGTTCAAAGACCAGCCTCAGCTCAGTCTGCGGGAACAGTCCTCTTGCGACAGCCAGAACTATCTTATATATGAAGAACGCATGTCTGAGGGGAGAAGTAATCAAGGACCATCGTACTGTAAGTAAACAGAAGACCTTCCTTCTCTCTGACATAGCTTCAACTCCTTTGAGGGCACTTATCCACACAAACTGACACAGTTTCCATCCCCAAACGTACTGCATTTTAGTAAAAGCACTTCAAAAGGGCAGGTACTTTCTAGGCTGAAACAGGACTTTTGTTATGCAAGGTGTATTACTTGCTTTTTAAACATGCTGGGCTACTGAAAGACACTGACAGCAACATGCAAGGCAGCACAGAGGAAAAACGTGACCTTAGGAATCCAAATTCCTCGTGCTTTCCTTCTTGTGGGTGGGAAAGGTAGGAGATGGAGGCAAAGCCACCACGAAGATCACATCTGAACCTCTCCCTCTCTGCCTACACCACCTCTCTAGGCTTGTCTTGACAATCTTCACCTTCCTGTGCATTTCTCAAAACTCTTAATCAGCAAATGCTGCACTGTCATCAGCTTTTATGCAGCATTTTAAAACATATATATTCAAAATGAGTATCACTACTCTGCAGTCCTCTGCTCTTCTCCAGTCTATTCTAAACTAAGTGAGAACATATCATTCTCCTGCTTACATGGAGGACTACTCACCCCCGCATTTTCAAAGCCTGCTGGATTGCTCTGACTGAGGGTAGCTTCAATCCATGTCAGTAGGGAAGAGGCAGGTACACACCAATTGACAAGGTGAAACAAGGAAAAGTCAATGCCCAGAGGTGGGGGCAGAGGACATTAAAGGTGACAAATCCCACTTTTTGTCATTTTAGGGCCAAACCTTTTTCTTTGCATGTGAATTTGTGACTGGTGCAAAGTACCAAACCTCAGCTTACATTATGCTTTTCAAGCTCATCTACGTTCTGCACAATGAGAAAGTCATCTCAGGATCTGAGGCAAGAGTAAACGTAGCTAACTGATAAATTCACTCCTATTGAAAGGAAGGGGCATCCAGCAACAGCAGCAGAGAAGGAACTGTAAGAATATGAAATACTTGGGAAGTCCCTTGAGCAATGCATTGGGGCAATCCTATGTAACCCATTATAAAAACAGCAAGTGTTCATAGTTCTAAGACAGTTGCTATTAACATACAGACATGAGCTAAGTCCACCGCTACAGTTAAGGATATTTTACTTCATTACAAATTCTAGATTTTAAACAATTGGTGGTGGGTGTACAAAGCAAGGTAGCCTAGAACTTCCTAATGTTGTGTATTTCAACAAGAGCTCTTTAAGTAAAAGGAATGGTGCAACGCATTGTGGCTTCAGAGTTCCTGGTTCCACACTATTAGCTGACATATAAATACATGGAAATGGTCAAGTGCTTTGGGTTCTTTACTTCCTTCAGCATTTTTAAAATAATCATATAATGATGGCCCCTTATTTTGCACAATCTGTACATCTCACATCTGTATGATACTAGATTTCAGATCAAGCCCAGAGCAAGGAGTGACACTTGAGCTGGGTACTCCAACTCAAGAAACACTGCTTTGAGTCTCGAGCCCTAGTGACAGGAGGATGAAGCCAGCATTCCAACCATCACTTATGTATTTCTGGAAAAACAGTAGACAAGAACATATTCTGCTCTCTCCCCTTCCATCACCCCCCACCTACTTGCTGGGCTCCATTTGGCACAGCCTTTACAGTGGTATATGCAAAAAACTCATTCTCCTATGCTGGCAAATAGTGTCAGAGAGAAGGTAGCCCTTGAGCATACTCTGCTTCTCATTTCCTCTCTTGTAAAAAGGCATCCATCGTAAGAGGTTTCTTCCTAACAAACCAAAATGCTTGTTTGTGTCCTATAGAAAACTTACATTTTTATGATTCACACACTTCATGAGGACCAGCTCTCTGTAAGCTCGCTTTGCGTGCGTTTGGTTCTGAAATGGTCTGCTGAGCTTCTTAATGGCCACGTTTCTGTCAAGGACAGCATCATATGCAGCACTGCAGTAATTACAAACACAAGGGTTATACGTCTTAGAGGATATCCTTCATTTCAAAGGGCAAATTCCTGGGCCTCAAGCCTATTATTCCAATTTTTCACCCCAAGAATAGTAGTGGGACAAGGAGAGAGTGTCCAGGGAGAAAAAAAGAAGACATCAAGAGGAAACATATGCCACCACATCAGCAGAGTACAGCACGCACCACTGCTTCTGAACTCTAGTTTCATAGAAAGCTAACATTTATTTTCAAGGAGTGAAGAAAAAAAAAGAAAACATTATGTAACTCTAAATAAAAATACAACAAAAACTTGATTTGAGAAGTTCTTTCCTAAAGCAACAATGTGCACTGGGTGCAGTGGAGAGATGGGAGATGCTTTTCCCATCATGATTAAGGACACCTTCACCAGGTGGCTCAGTGAGCAATTTCCCACTTTTATTTAGACTGAGTTTTGTCTTTTCCTTATGATATTTTTAATGAAATCAAATTATTTAATTATTCCTATACACCACATCATCCAGTTCTACTTACAAACCTAGAAAAAGAACAATTTCACAAAATGTCTTTGTCATTTCCTTTTAGTACTGAAAAAATTGTTGCATATGCTGAGTTAAAAATTTTGAGAATGTGAAGAAATACAAGCTGTGGTTTGCAAAGCAGGCTCTTAAAAATGGGCTTCTAAACTCTCTTCTAGCTTTTAAAATATTTTGCACAACTTTCACATATTTTGATAACCTTTCAGAACAGTCCTCAGATCCTGTTCACGATTCCCCCTTTTCTCAAGAAATTAATTCCTGCTTACTGTAGGCATTCAGTGACATTCACTTACAGCATCTTACTGACCATGTACAAAGCAGAAAGCATACATCAGAAGCTTAGTTACATAGCCAACAAAAATTTACAAGCTCTTTAAAAAGCATTGGCAATGTCTGTCTTGAAATACCTCCTCCACCTGTGTGGTTTCCAGTAACACTACTCCTACATCAGGAACACACTAAATACATCCCTGAAAAAAAAGCAGCTGATTACTAGAGGTGGTGAAGAACACTTTGAAGAATACTTTAGTAAACTACTGACATTTGGGGCAGGATGGTGGGATTTCCCCCTGAGAAGGTCTGCAGACAAGGAAAAAAAAAAACAACAGCTTATGAATGTCCTTTGAGATATTCTGAAATTTTCAGGGAGTTCTGTTTCAATATTTTCATAGTGAAACTATTTCAGTTCAAACCCCAAATTTACAGAGAAACGTACAAATAAATAGAAAGCCAAAAGAGTTTAAAATCATGATCTTTCTATATTTAAATGCTTTGCCTCTATCGTTGATGGACAGAGGCTTTGAATATACTTTAGCAGACAAATGTCTCAGCTAATCCATATTACCTCATCATTCAACAGCTTTTAAAAAGAATAGCCCACATAAGACTCAGTTGAGTTATATAGGAATGTTTTAAATCACTTTCATTTTCTATTCATGTATTTTTAGCTTAACCCATTCCCGCGGGTCCTGTCGCTGGTGTTAATGGAGAAAAGGTCTCCTGCCTCTCGACACCCCCTTACGAGGAAGTTGTAGACTGCGATGAGGTCTCCCCTCAGCCTCCTCTTCTCCAGGCTGAACAGGCCCAGTGCCCTCAGCCGTTCCTCGTACGTCTTCCCCTCCAGGCCTTTCACCATCTTCGTAGCCCTCCTCTGGACACTCTCCAACAGTTTCATGTCCTTTTTATACTGTGGTGCCCAGAACTGCACACAGTACTCGAGGTGAGGCCGCACCAGCGCAGAGTAGAGCGGGACAATCACCTCCCTCGACCTACTAGCGATGCCGTGCTTGATGCACCCCAGGACACGGTTGGCCCTCCTGGCTGCCAGGGCACACTGCTGGCTCATATTCAACTTGCTGTCTACCACGACCCCCAGATCCCTCTCTTCTAGGCTGCTCTCCAGCGTCTCATCGCCCAGTCTGTACGTGCAGCCAGGGTTTCCCCGTCTAGTTATGTCATATCATCAAAGGAGTTACCAAGCAGTAACACCCAAAAGTTTGTCTGTGCAAACATTTTCCCCAGTTTCTGTTCTCTGATAATTTTTCTGAATTTTCTCCCTGTCAAAACAAGAGATACAAAAGCACCAATCTAAAATCAGAAAAACAAAGCTTTTTTAAGCCCTAGGTGTTATGATCCATTTCCAGTCCTCTACGTATTGTAATGGCTGCTTCCTCAACTATGGAGAAAAAGAAAACTAAGATACTCCTTCGTACAGCACTATTTGCTTTGAGATACAAGGATCTCACTTGTAGTTTTATTCTTGCCTTCTATCAAATAAATGGAAGGTGTCCAACCACTTCAAGACATCAATAGGTGAATTCATTGCACCGAGTAAATTAATAGTACTGATGCTTTTTGCTATTCACTGGAGAGAATCTTTTGTTTCCAGACAGCCAACTATGAGTTTTACTACAATGAAATTACAGACACCACACGTAGATCCCCACTCCACAAAATCCTTTCCTCAGAACACCAAGATTAGCACTGATGATATATAACAGCCTTCTTAAGACAAACTTCCATCACTGGCAGAAGAGTGGCTGCATGAACAGGTGACTCAAGGGAACAGGAGCAAGAGAGAGTAACGAGCGTCTGAGAACTGATGTGAAAAGGTCAAGCATAAAAGGCAATTTCAAGATCTCCAGTAAGAGAGCGGATTTGCATGTAAACCCTGTGCTCCTTTCTCTGGAAACTGTATTGGAACTTTGCTCAACTATGAAATTATTTTTTAAATTTATATCGTTGCCTATTTTTGTAACAAAGACTATAATTCAACTCCCAGCCTTGTAATTAAATTTTAGTTCTACTTCAATATGAGCTCAGAAAAAAGAATCCTCCAAGCTTACTATCAAATCTCTGGCAGCTGCACAGATGGAAAATGCAGTAAATAAACTCTTCCATTGTAAATTCTGTTTATGACTAGTTTTGTAAGGTAAATGTTAGTGTTAAAACTGCCTTTTTAAAAACTGTAAATAATTTGAAAAAAAAAAAAAACACCAACAATTTAGCAGAGAATAGTTCTAGCCAGATGTGAAAATAAATTCATGACTACCGAGGCTCATATGTAATTATAGCTATTTAACAACTTTTTTGCTGACTCCAGAAAAAAAAAAAAAAAAAAAAGAAACTAAGTGCAATCCTTCTTAGTCCAATGGATTTACACAAACAGCTAACCATTTACCACTAATGCCGTGCATGAGTTCAAGCTGCAAGAATCAATTATCAATGCTCTGTTATCACACACTTGAAGGACCAGGCAATCGTTTTTCCATGCAAGTTAGCAAGCCAAGGGAAGCATTCCAGCTAGACATCCAAGATGCTATTTCAATAGACACAATATAGAATGGGAAGGATCTTTTAATCAATTATCTCTTTTAATCAATAATGAAACTTAACACTAACCACTTCCATTATAATCTACCACAGAACTGACTGACAAAGTCAGAGAAACATTCTTTTAAAATAGACTTTTAGAGATGGGTAGCAAAATGGCAATTTTTGATAGTCTTCAGCTTCAAGACTCTTTGGATGGGGTAGTTGCATCCTTTTCAAGCTCCTTATGTTTTCTCCAGCCACTACTGGACTAAAGCAGCCTTACTCAAGAGATGATGGACTAGAAGCCCAAAAGAGAGGAGAAAGCTCCCAGCTGTCAGCCCCCAAGGACAGGCTGTGAAACAAAGATGTACCACTGAAACTGGACAGTTTCAAAAGTAAAGGTTCAAAACGTAAAGGAACCTGTTAGAGAACTGGAGCTGTCATTCAGTGTCCACGTACTTCCATGTATTTATTAAACCTACTGCACACAAAATCTAGTCAAAAAGGAAAAGACAGATCTTGCTCTTCAGCTTGCCCAAGCCTGCGTTTTATGCACTACCCTGAAAAAGCTTGTTTTCAAACTGTGCCTCAAAGACTTACAGCTCTGGTACCAAACCGAAATCCTCTGAAAATGAGGAAGTTCATCATCCGCTTCGCATGATGGATTTTACATTTAGATATTAAGTATTTCAGAACAGAGAAGAGCACACTTGGCACATTTTATCTATAGAGTATCCTGGTCTCATGTCTCATTATGTTATGGTATCGCTGAAATTATTACTGCAGCATTTCAATATATATTTCCTTGCGTCACTATGGCAGACTTATGCTGTCTTCCACTTTGCAAAATAGAGCACTCCAAAGGCCCTGGTTAAATTCAAGTGTGTTTTAGCTGACTTGTGTTTTTTTCAAGTTGTTAGATTTAAAGCTCTCTGGTTATCTGCACATTAAACAAGAAAAGGTGATTTAAAGAGGTCTATGCACATTTGTGTGCAAAAATGTAGGGAAAACACTAAAAAACAGAAAAACTGCTCACTTGAACAGTCATAACTGTGCTTATTGAAACAAGACTCAGGCATAGCTAGAAGAAACTACTTGAAAATCAGCATCTCCCCCACTGGATCTGTGGTGGTGTGTATCTGGGTAACTATCACCCTAGAGATTTTGTTCAGAGATCCGAATGCACATGTGCATTTTCTTAAGAAAGCAAACACCAAAAAGTCCAAGCCCACACTTCATGCAATCCCTTTACTTTCACCAGGATTATAAAGTATTGCTTTTGTATTCATGGGATCCGCAGTGCAATTTGAACACCTATTATTCATTCTAAGTACTGCACTCAGCCCCATTGCTTCAAATGTCAAAGCCAGGCAGCCCTTTCTAGCAGAAAAAAAAAAAAAAAAAAAAAGGAAGTGCGGAAGTGCAGTGAATTTATATTTCTAAAGGTAAGAAGATTCAAAAACTTCACTGTGAAACCTATTTCACAGTTCAGGCAGATTGAGACAGCCATTATCCTCTCAATTTTCAGATTTGTAGTCTGAATTAAGATGGCTGAGCCACCATAGAGAAAACAATGCAAGTTGCATGGATACAACGCTTATTTTTAGCCAACATATTTACTACTTAACTGCACTTGACATACTCCAACAGTGC